TAGTTTAAAAAGGATTGAATCCTGCTCGTAAGGCGAAGCATCAACAAGTTTCCACCCACCTGTAGAGCTTGATATCTAGCATTCAAAACCTCCTTCTTTTGTTTGATGTTAGGAGCATCAAAATGATCGAGTTCTTCAAACAAGTCTGCTTGGGCATTCACGGCTTCAATTTTCTCCTGAAATTGCAAAACAAAATGGAAATGTGTTATATTTTATAATTTATATTATAAGCACAAGGTCAGGACAGGGGGCTGAAATGGTCGAATGACCTCATAAAAAAATATAAAACATTATCTCAAAAAAAAATCAAACAGAAAGGACACAATATTATGGATGCCCCCATGATTCTTTACCATCAACAGAGATCAATAGCCACCCTCCGAGATATGCTCCAATTGTCAAGTACAAAGGTTCCAATATGAGGCTATGTGCTAAATTAAATCTATTCTTACCACCTGTCACAAATGACTGAGCGTTTAGCACGTAGCCTCATACTGAAAACTCTGTGTTTTGACTGGGGGGGGGGGGGGGGGGGGGGGGGGGCAATTTACATTTGAGAGCTAAACAATTCAGATGTTGTATGTGTATGTGATAGAATACTTTGAGAACTTAATTTGACATATTTTGACTTATCAGTTGCTGGATGATTAATGCCCCTCAGTCAAGTTCAAAAAGTCACGTGATTGATAGTAAGCAATTATTAAACTGGACTGTGAAGAACAGATATAAAAACCCTAAACTACAGATAAAAACAATAAAAAGTGCACACACTAAGGTAATAAATTTATAACAAGCACAGGGATATTATTAATACTTACAACACGTGTGATCACATCTGCCTCAAGCATATCATGCTTCTTCTGAAGATTCTGCACYGAGGTAAGATCCTAGTTGTAAATAAAAGGAACAAAATACTTTTAGGCTTGCAATTCAACCCAATACTTGACATGATAGATCAAAAATGAGTGTGAGTGTTTGATCAGAGTCTTTTATTGTTTCGAGGTGTTTGGATGCCCTGATCAAACAAGAAGCATGAGTTTTTGAACTGACTTCTCAAACTCCTTAATTCCTTCGCAATTATTCGTTTATTTGTCATTGTTTTGATCAGTGTCTTGATCCATTTTTGATCAAGTATCAAGGTGCGTGCACGTAACTACAATGCAAAGTCACCATTRGTCATTGACCTCATGAAGTATTAATGAGTTTGAGAACATTACGTATCATGCTTTTGATAAAAACACAGACTATGTCTGGCCAAATGCTAAAAACTAGGTCTCCTTGTATAATAATCTTACGAATCTTCTTGATAACCAGTGTTAACACAGAAAACACTGACAACTCTTATAAAATGCTTAACCTAATCAGCACTTGGACCTTAGTTTTAAGTGCATATTACTATATTTACTAACTTTGTTGTCTGCAAAATTAAAAATCTGAAACCCTCAAAATCAAAATACCTTGCCAGTGTCTTCGGCATTGAGTAAGCTCTCTATCTCAGCACACCATAATTCCACATCCTCAGCACCTCTGTTGAACAAATAAAATTGTTTAGTACACTTAAAATATGAACACATAAATAGGTTACTTTCCCAAGGTTATATGAAGTAATTAATATATAGTTAAACTCACCTGATAAACTGCTGTTGTTGGGCAGCTTCCTTGAGTTTTTTGTCTATAAGGAGAACAAAATGCTTTAATTATAATCACTTGTTGGGTAATTCAAACATACCTCCAGTAGCTTTTACCCATCCTTCACCCGTACAGGGCTGGGTAGAATAGACAATGGCTTTTTTCTAAGAGTTGAGTGCTAAGAAACTAGTGCTATGGGAGCCCACTCATGGACATCGGGGTCGAGGCAGACTAAAGACAACCTACATCGACACGCTGAAGCGGGATACTGGAGCATCCGACGCGAGCGAACTAGCTTCATTGCTGGATGACAAGAGGATTTGGGGAGGACTAGTGGTTGCCCKCCTTCGGGTGACCAAGTGAGTAAGTGAGTGAGTTTCTCTCTATTTACCTCTAAGGGGCAATTGTCAAAAAATTTTAAAAACATAATATTTTTTTCAAATTTAAAAAATTAATTCTATCAATACCCTAAAACAAACTCTTAACTGATCAAAGTCAGGGCATGGCTAACTCATTGATCSAATAGGAATTTAGGCTTGTAAGGTTTTTGAAAGGATAAAAACTGGATAACATAACTTTAAACCAAAGGAGAGAACATTCAAACTCTAGRAACCAATATTAGAAAAATATTTTTTTGAAACACTTTTTTGTTGTCAGAAAACACAAACCTTTATTTGAAGAACACTCAAAGAGATATCTCCATAGTTCGTGCAGTTCATCAAGTCGCTGCTGAATGACATCCGTGGCATAATGATTTTCAGAGATGAGATGCTGGCCAGTTGCGTCAACTGCRTCCAAACGGTTCCTGTTTGCATTCAGCTCTGCCTCAAATGCCTGGTGCTTCTGGATTTTGCCTTGCAAGTTTGTAGGCTCCTGAATAAGAAAGAAGAAAATGTTGAGGTTAGACTTCAACAACAGTTATCATGATCATTATGATCATCATCATTATCATCATCAATCATCAAACCACCATCAGTTACCACCAACAACACCATCATCATCAATTATCATCACAACCATCATTACCACCACCACCACCACCGTCATCTTTATTATCACCATCATCATCAATTATCATCACAACCATCATTACCACCACCACCACCGTCATCTTCATTACCACCATCAACATCAATTATCATCACAACCACCATCGTTACCACCACCATCACCGTCATCTTCATTACCACCATCATCATCAATTATCATCACACTTACCATCATTACCACCACCATTACCCTATTACGCACCCAACAATCCTATATCGGGTACTCCRGTGCCTATTGAACATACCTTGTAAGACTCATCCTGCGCTGTCTTCAGCTTCTCAGTTATCCAGACTTTCACTTCTTCAGCATCTCTCTCAAACTGTTGCAGCTTCCTAGACTCCTCAAGTTTCGAGTGCCTTGCATCAGATAATTCTTGTATGTGCGCACGTCTGGCAAGTAAGGCATCACGACGTTCTTTGACTTCATCAGTGGCATAGTGCTTGTCTCTTATCAGACGCTCTGCAAAATCATCGATGCTCTGTAGTAATAAGAGGTCAAATATGCTGTTAGATTAYATAACATTCCATACATGTAAAATCGCACCATTTGTAAGAGTATAATTAACAATTAGTCCTCGAGCCCTAATGCGTTATTGACTCATAGGCCATTAGGATGAGACGACTAATTGTCTTAGTCAAATCCAACTAGTCGGTCAAATATATAGATGTAAACAAGTTTTGAATTAAATTTAATGTTTAGTTTTCAAAGCTGGTACTTTTCATTTTAGTAGGATATAACTTATAACCCCATAGTAGCTCATCCAATCAGAACTCCGCATTGATGATAGACACTAGTTGGGTTTGACTATGTCCCATATAACAAGATGCCACATACTCTAAGTCCACTAGAAAACCTTAATTCTTAAATAGATTCATTTACATTGATTTTTTCTTCTTGAGCACCAAATGAGTTCTCAAAGTCATCATGTTTCTTGATCAAGGCTTCTACTCCATCAAGAGAATCACCAAGATTTTCATCAGCWAGGAAAGCCTTAAAAAAATAACAGATTTAACAAGGTTACATCAGCGATTGGTAATCAAGGGGGAATTACAATAGTGTCGCCGACGCTTTGTTTCGCCTACGCATGGTTTTGCCTACACTTCATTTTGTCTACATATCGTTTCGTCTATGCATCGTTTTGCCTACTGAAGTTCACCTATGTTATCAAATACTTTGTGAAAAGTCTTTTTTAAGTGGCAGATCCAGAGATGGTTCCATGGGTTCCACGAAACCACCCTTTATATTTTTTATGGTTTTTATTTTTGCTGGAACCTGAAGCAGAGCCAGATGCAGTTTATGCAGCCAGGAAATAGCGAGAGATAATAAGCATAAGCACAAGGCTAGAAAAAGGAAATCTTCAAATCCGGATTATGAATTGGTTTTCTGATTTCCATTTAATCATAAATGTACTGCTAACYGACTTCACTCTACTCTGATTGTTTYACCAGGGGCGCAGTAAGGTCTCRATCATAGACTACAATCTACCAATTTTTTTGTGGCAGCACATGCCCCCTCCCTATGCTAGTGTTTGTCGCTTAGAATGAAAAYCAGCATTTTGAGTCGTGATGGTACTGTGGRTAATGGTGGGGTGGATGGGTGAGGGTGTGTGTTGGTAGGTTGACAACAGGTTATATAAAACGTGATGACTGATACATTACCTCCTGTTTCGTCATCATGATATCAGCATGCTCRCAGTCCCTCATGAAGATCTGCAGCTCCAAGCATTGCTCAAATTGCACTCTCCTTGTCTCCCACAGTTCCAGAAGACTAGTTTTCTCTTCTTCAATTGTTGTGAGCTACACAAGGAAGAAATGAAAATGATCAACATGCAGCCTGATCAGTACAGTGTTATCCTCCTGTTTTTGGCTGAGTATTTTTTTAAAAAAACTTACCTTTTCTTTGATTTCATCCTTAGCATAATGATCAGCCTCAATCAACTCTTGCCCATCTGAATTAAACTTGTTGAATCCATCTTCAGATGCATCAATGTAACCCTAAATGACAATATATAATTTTATTCAACAACCTTAAGAATAAACTGTTTCAATTTAAGATGCAGTAAATTTTTACAGCTCTCTTTATTTTTTGCAACAACAAAATATGTTGTGTGTGAAGTGTTGTGTGTGAAGTGTTGTGTGTGAAGTGTTGTGTGTGAAGTGTTGTGTGTGAAGTGTTGGGTGCTATGATCAATATATATGCATTGCACATGCTACATGTTGCATATCACCACACCTCTTAAAACATTTTTAATGCTAAAACATTTTTTGATACTTTTATTTTGAAAGTGATAGTTTTCTAAAATTGACTTTTCAAAGGTGATGGACACGASACTAAAACTAAAGGTGTTGCATTATGGGCAACCAAGTTGCACAACTTGCTGTACAACCTTCTTGTTTTGCAAATTGCATAGCTAAGGGTCCTTGTATTGCCACCCTGCTCACAATACATTTGCATAGASTTTCTACTTTGCGTAATAATGCAAATCTGTTGCTTGCAGAGTGAGAATATGAGCAATATTTGCTCTTTCACGACAAGTTGCAGGATTTTGTTGCCCATATTACCCAACCTTAATTCACTCCTGCATTGTCTCCAAAGAATCTTGAGAGACTCTGTAATTGAGAAGTAYTTTAATAACCTACCTTGTGCTCTTGGTGATGCTCCAAGAGTGCTTCTGCTCCAGCAACATCTTTAGCAAGCTCATCTGATACCATCAGTACCTTCATTTCATTGATGAATGACATGTGATCCCTTAAGAAATAATCAAGTTCTATGAGATTTAATTTACTTGACTTGAATCTAATYTTGAAATACATAGTTGTCTAGAGATAAAGCAGTTTTCGTATAACTGTGAAAAGCTTGCAGAACATAGTCGCCAATAACAATTCCAAATAACATCATGTTCACAGCAAAGCACACATWCAGCAATGGGCTCTTCACAGTCATACTAAGAATGCTAGTATCAGATACTTATGAGGAATGCTTCAAATGATAGAATTAATACCTGAAGTCTCCAATGAATCGTTGAAGACGATAGGAATCTTCCAGCCTTGCCTTCCTCACATCAGACTGTAATTAAAGATGAATTAAAATTGAACGAAATTATTCACGACACTGAGGAAAAGAAGAGAGGACTATTATCACGTATGTGTAATACCACATCCTTAYAGTGTACATACCTTGTCTTTGAGATTGCCCCAGGCAGACACAATCTCGTCATGCTTGGCCGATACTTCATCGGCATTTTCTGGGTGGATTTCTTGGAGACGTCCAGCTTCTTGCCCGAGAGCTGTCACCTAGGAAACCAAATGTTCCATGTTGTTAATACATGCGTACACATAAACTTTTAGTAGAGAGAAGGCTATCAATACAAAACAAGGTTTTTATCAAATTCATTATGCCTTACCTTATCTTCCACAGCTGCAAGATCCCTCTCCATTGCCTCATGCTTCCTGAGTAGAGCATTCACACTAGACAAGTCTTTTCCATAGTCATCCGACGACAACACCTTGTCTTTTTCATTGATCCAGTTCTTGGTTTCATCAGCATCACTGTAAAAATTTTCAATAAAAAATTAGACACATAAATGTGAAAAGATTAGCTACAAAGTGACTTAAAATCTTGTTTACAAAAACCTAAGAACTGCAGAGCACCCTTAAAACTAGGGGGTGGGGTGGGGTGAGGGCTAAGATCAATAAAATATAAGAGATTAGTATGTAAAAAAAAAGAAGTATTCCCCTTCACAGTCCCTGAAAGTGACTTTAATAAACAACTAAGCTTACCGATAAAAGTTGTGGATCTCTTGAGCACTTTCAAGCTTCTCTTTTCTCAGAAGTGCTAGCCTCTTGAGCTTCTCCCATGCCTCATTTACTTCCTGGGRAAAAAAGAAAGTTTGAATAAGCAAATTTTGAAGTGTCTTTGCAACAAAAAAAAGAATTTCAAACAATGATCAACTTACTCTTTGTTTGAGGCTGATGAGTTCAATGTCAGGGTGTCCCTCCTCAGCCAATTGATCAGCAAGATCATTGATGTATGTTATCCTGGATTCRTTGGCTTGTAAGTCTTTGAAAAAGTCATCAAACTTCTTCAGCAAGACAATGACATGCTCCAAATCTCTTCCCAGCTCTTCAACTGTTGCAATGGCTTCCTGCAAAAGGATAATCCAGAAATATCAATAAGACTTGATCTAGAAAGTCATAATTTAAGCTTGGAGAAAGAAACTTGTGTGTAAAATAACTTTCAAATTTGCAAATAATATTATTATTTGTGGCTCAGTCAGGTCAAACGTTTAACTTCACATGAGCCAACCCTAAATGGGACAATGGATAAAGCAGTCTTCTTTGATGCCATTAGGTTGGGCTCATATGAAATTGGATGTTTGAATTCATCCTCACTATCTTTTGTGTTTAATGTGAAATAGTTGTAATATTCAAGCAACGATTGAAAAATAGAGCAAATAGATATTAAATTCATGTTTATTCTTTTTCTTACCTTTTCATGAATCCAGGTCATAACCTCATCAACTTCCCGAAGGTAATGAACTCGCTTCTGAGCAAAGAGCAACATGCGTCCCTTCTCGGCAGATTTGCAAAGCAAAAGTTCCCATAGCTTGATGAGAGAATCCAAACGCTCCTAATAAAATGAAAATATACATGACCAGTTAATGAATAATTTTAGTCTGTTTTGCCATTTGGAACTTCACATTTTTATAGTGTCAAGAACAATTTGATGCATATAATATACTGACAAACCTAGAATGTCGTTAAAAATCAAAGTAAACAATAGCTGCTAAGTTTTTTTCCTTCAACAAAATCACCAGGCAAAATTTGCTAATGTAAACATTACTAGAGTGTGTGCTTAAACCAGTAAAAACACTTATGGCAATTTGAGGAATTAAACTTATATTTAAAACAATTGAATCTACAATCTTTAAAGATTATTATTCCTATAAATATYTTTTATCAGATTTCCATAACATACCCGAATGAGTTCCGAGGCATAGTGTGACTCGCTGATCATCTCCTCTCCCGTCGTCTGCAGTTCAGTGATGGCATAGCTATGTGCAGATATTTCCGCTTCGAAGGCTTGGTGCTTCTGGAGCTTGTCCTATAAAAAAGTTTAAGAATTTAGAAACATGCAAATAGCATTTGCAACTGTGGTCATAGGGTACCACAGGAATCCCAAATATGAAGAATATGGTTACAAGAATATAAAATATATATYGCTATATTTTWGATGCATATRTTATATCTTATCGAAAAKAAKAGGAACWGCATAAAAATTTAAATCYCAAGTAGAAAGAAGAGKTTTGAGTGTTGAAAAAGAAGAAATYATGRGCCGAAAATCCTCCAGACATCAAATCAGACGGACCACGAGTCGATCAATTTCGAGTGTTTGTTGATTTCCTTTACGAAATCTACAAAATATATTSAAAATTATTTCATTTTTTGGCAATTTCTATCCATACAAGCAAATTCTAGACTTATTTTTAAGGGAAACAGGGGAAATATGGGAAGATTTTCAACATGCAATCGAACAAAGGAGCGGCATTTTCAACATCTACGTCCCGGATCACGCCTTCGCGCGGCAATCACGAAGCCCTAATGAAATAGATCTTCGTCTTTTACRAGATCTGCTTTTTCACGACAATAAAGATTTTTCTTGCCTTTTAAGCTTCTCTTATTTGCTTTGAGCTTTTAATTCTGGTGAGAAAGCGAACAGGCGTACAGACAGACATTCTTGAATCAAAAGGCGCTGGCTCGAACATAATACAAGCTTCGCTTCCAGCTGTCTATAGTGATACGAAAGGCAAGCTTTTTCGATGTAAGAAATTAAAATACAGTACCTGGAGGTTGGTGGGATCCTTGTAGTTCTCATCACAGGCAATCTGAAGCTTTTCATTGATCCATGCTTCTACTTCATCAGCATCACGCTTGAAWTGAAAATACCTCTTGGCATCCTCCAAGCGTCGACGCCTGACTCTTGTAGCGTCTTTAAAGTCAGCATATCGCCGTAAAACTTGCTCACGACGAGCTTGAATGTCCTCTACAGTCTCGAGAATAGGAATATCTCGAGCCTGTACTGCAGTCATGTTTACTTCACGGTTAAATCGCGGGTAGAATTAGACAAAGAAGAACAGCTTTGTTTAGAGGTCTTCTTCTCGTGTTTCTGTAGAAGACGCCCGAAAAAAGAGGGTGGAAATGAGGGTGATGATTGGCTGATGCAGTCACATGACTTCGACTAAACAATCAAAAAATAATTTCTTTGAATTACGATTTTTTTTTCTAAATTTACTTTCAAATACCCTTCATTTCAATCCATCTAGGTTTTTTTGTTGCAAATTTAGAAGATGAATCGTTTTAAATTATTTTCCTTTTTTATCAGCAAGTTTGGAATGAAATTCTACCTCCTCACCCTTAGGATAACCAATTGACTATCCCTCCCCTCCCCAGCCTCTTTACTATTCACATATATGGAAGATCCAAGATGGCGGGCATGGTGAAGAACTTTCTTTATGCCTTTTGTGGGAAGAAAAAGACCCAACCAGTGTACTCTGAAAGGCCTACTAAACCGGGAAAGTTTAGTTTTCAGGTATGTTTACGTATTGACTTTCAGGGAGGGAGAAATACGAAGTATATCGCGTGTGATTGAAGCGAGAAGGTCCCCAGGGAAGGTCCTACAGAGTGCGCATTGATATGTTTTATACTAAGCTTGATAACGTCTTGCTTATTCTTTCAAGGATTTGCTTGTTACTCTGTGTTCCCGTCACCTTAAAAATCAACACGTGAGTTGAGCGTTGTGTGCATAGAATATCGAATAAAGTGGTAGTGCGTGAGCGAAAAGTGTCCCCAATTTAATACTGCGAAAGCGCTAGAACGACTAGACATACAAGATTTTTTTAAATATATAATAATTCATAATGTAAAATAAGCTTAATGTATTGAATAAAAATAAATAAATTAAATATCGACTAAAAATAAAAAATAATTAGGCATTGCACTATTACTACTACATTTGCACTGCTGCTGATGTTACTGTTGTTGCTAATTCTAATACTTGCTAGAGTGGTATTCATATGAGTAGGAAACATCATGTACATGGTATGACCAGCAGCGGCATTGAAATGGCTTCCTATTGTCTTCTAGTAATTCATCCAATCACAACGAGTAGTTATGTTATGGTAGGGTATGGTAGGGCTACAGCACAGCCATTAATATACTGAATTGTTTTCCACCCATACGAAATATGGTCTGCTAGTACTTCTGTTACAGAGAATATAACTGATGGTACTACACTCTGCTATACCACCACCACCACCAACAACAACAATAACATCACAACCACCACCAATGACAACAACACCACCACTGCCAATACCACCACCACTTCCAATACCACCACCACTATCACCACCACCACCACTATCACCACCACCACCACTACCATCACCAACATGTAACAACAACAACACCCCCACCACTATCGCCAACAGGTTGACACAGGGTGATCAGCATTCATGTGACCCATTGAGGCAAATTAACAAATCACAACTTTTAAATGAATTCTAACCATTCACAAAATAAAATCTATCATTCATGAATCATTCACAATGTTTCAAGGGAAGAATCGTGTGTCATAGTAAACCTGGAATTCATAAATCACACTTTACGTTTTGCTGTTTTCATGTATCACACACTTATTTTGGCCCAAATCACATAGCTACCACCTTTCACTAACAACAACACCACCACCAGCACCAATATCGAACACACCACCAACACCAATAAGAAAACATCACTACCACCACCAACAATAACGAAAACACCACTACCACTGATAAGGACACCACCACCACCAATAACAACAACACTACCACCACGACCACCAATAATGAAAACACCTCTACCACTGATAAGGACACCANTGCTTATTCTTTCAAGGATTTGCTTGTTACTCTGTGTATTGAATTAAAAATAGATCAATTAAATATCGAGTAAAAGTGAAAAATTAGGCATTGCAATATTACTACTACATTAGCACTGCTGCTGATGTTAAGACTACTGTTGTTGCTAATTCAAATACTTGCTAGAGTGGTATTCATATGAGTAGGAAACAGCACGTGCATGGTATGACCTGCAGCAGCATTGAAATGGCTTCCTATTGTCTTCTAGCAATTCATCCAATCACAACAAGTATTTATGTGATGGTAGGGCTACAGCACAGCTATAAATACACTGTATTGTTTCCCACCCATACGAAATATGGTCTGCTAGTACTTCTGTTACAGAGAATATAACTGATGGTACTACACTCTGCTATACCACCACCACCACCCGGGAGGGGGGTACTCTTGCCTGTTTAGGGTAGGGATGTGCTGCTGAGCCCACTGAATCCTGACCCTGTTCCAGAGTAAAATCGTTGAAAATCATAGCCTGTTCTGATATTGCAAAAATGGATACCCTGTTCCAGAGAGGAGAGAGCGTGATTTCATATACCCTGTCCCAGAGTGAGCGCGATTTTATATACCCTGTTCCAGAGTAGAATTGCTGAAAACCATACCCTGTTTGGCGGCACATAACCGTATAGCAAATATAGAGGAGTACATCCAAAATATTTGAAGGGAAGAATCATGTGTTAAAGTAAACCTGGAATTCATAAATCACACTTTACGTTTTGTTGTTTTCATGTACCACACACTTATTTTGGCCCAAATCACGTGGCTACCCCCTTGCACTAACACCACCACCACCACCACCAACACCAATGATGAAAACATCATTACCACCACCAAAAACAAAAACACCACTACCACCGATAACAAAACACCACTTTCCTACCACCTTACTATCAGTACCACCATTCACAAGTAAAACAATAATTTCTGTCTTTTTCTATATATTAGGTACAAGTGAATGGATTTGATTACGTTGGGTTTGGAACAGCCACCTCAAAGAAAGAAGCMGAGGCTAATGCTGCTAAAGATTTTGTTGGGTTTTTAATTGGTGCTGGTTTCATYCCAGCAGATTCAGTTCCTGATGAAATACTGGTTAGTGATTAATAGTGACTTAGATTGTGTTACCTTGCATGTTCAGTTCAAAGGTTGTTTTAGGGACTACTGATAAAATATTTGAATATTTGAATATTTGAATATTTGTTTTTTTGAAGGAAGAGTTTGTAAGCATGTCATCCATGAGTGAAGCCTTGTCCTCACTAGCACATAAGCATAAGCATAAGCATAGGCATAGGCATAGGCATAAGCATAAGCATAAGAGTGTAAGTTAACACTGGGAAGTTCAGTGACATAAGCACAAGCATAAGAAGAACAGAACGCTGTGATCCATTTGCTTATACTGGTGCTTATGCTTATGTCATAGTGAGGACGAGGTATTTTCGGGTAGAGGACAAATAGAATAAGTTAACTGAAATTAAGCCTGGTTCTCACTAGCACATAAGCACCTAGCATAAGAGTGTACATCGTCACTGGGAAGTTCAGTGACATAAGCACAAGCATAAGAAGAATGGATTGTTGTAATTCTTATACTTATTCTGGTGCTTACTGTATGCTTATGTCGTAGTGAGGACCAAACTTGGCAAGAAATAAGCTTCAGTTGATGATTTTTTACAGTTATGACATAGCTAACATAATACCCTAAAAATAGTTGTTTGATAAGTAAAAGGCTAAGGATTTTWTAAAGAAAATTATACCAACARCAGTYTTTCTCAAGACTWYACTCATCCRRACRATCACATTTCACAACRAAGAAARTTATAAAKTTTAAGYGYRATGATGACTTTGGTCAAAAATGTTTAAACTTTTATAATTTTCTTTTAAGATTTACAGTTATAATGCAGATGGTGAATTGCATGTGATTCTTTCAGGCTGAGCAAGAAGGATCAGCACCAGYCCCAACACCTCAGCCATTACCATCCAACATGCCTCCAGCCCCACAAGCTTTAACCATGGCACAAGTTCAACAGCCTCCTACACAAAACTTTCCACAAATGCCACAGTCTCTCATGCAGCAAGGTGAATAATATAATGATCATACATAGGTGGATGCGATGTTTAAATAGAGAGGTTTTATATGGCAGCCATGTCATTTTAAGGCATGACTTTCACTATAAATTTACTAATTTACTTAATTTATTTGTAAATTTACCAATTTACTAAATTATTGCATTGTTCCAGCCCTTTAATTACTGTGGTTTTCGATATTCAGTGAACTCGGTAGTTGCAAGGTATATGCTAAAATTTTATTTTTCGCTGCCTTCAATCAAAAATAATTAGTCAATGTTACCTTTATATTCTTGACTGGCAGAGTGAAAAAACAAATTCACAACGAGCCATTGAAATGTCAGAGTTTGCAGAATATTGAAAACTGCAGTAAAGATATTATCTGTTGTGAAACCAATCTATCCCATTAGATAATGTTAATCCCTTAATTGGCATCATAAGGTCAATGTACCAACAACGAGTGAATGAATCAACGAGCGAAGGAACGAGCAAATGAATGAACAAACAAATGAAYGACCAAATGAACAAACGAACATAATCAGACCYAATTACTTCAATTACTTAATATATTCTAATTATTTCAAATCCTTCAGGGGGTGACTTCACAGGACGTGTTGGAGGTGGTGAGGGACCAAGAGATTACCACTACAGTATGTACAACAAACGAAGCTTTGCTGAGGTAATTAACAGGATTAACTTGTTTACTGGGTAATAGCCTTTAGATCAGGGATGGTGGAGACAGGGAGCTGGAACCCCTCATTTTTTTTTTTTTTTTTTTGAAGGAAAAGCATATTTTTCTATAGAACTATCAAACCATTATTGTTCATCAAAGCAAAATTTTATGTTTCTGAGACAAGGCTAAATATTTTTGCAGTGGGTTGCAAGAGGTACAATTTATTGAGCCCCACTCCCATCCCCCCCCCCCCCCCCCCCCCCCCACCTCCAAAAGCCCCCCACTGTCCTCGTAAATATGCAGAAGCAAGAGAG